ATGCATGCAAGCTGTTAAGGGTATACAATGCATCCTTCCCAGCTAGGCAAGGACGTTTTCACCCACTTATTGAATGTTCCAAAAACAATATTCCGGCTTTTGAAAAAAGTATGTTGGATATATTTTTATGACATACATTGACAGTTGAACTGTAAACAGCTATCTATGTTTTGAATAGATGGCATAGGCAGCATCCTTTGTACAAATGACGGTAAAAACTCAATTTGTCTTGGAAAAAACAGACAGTAAAAACCTAAAATGTTAACCGTATGATGTAACGAAGACGTAACATCGGCAGCGGTCGTCGTTCCGCTCCGTCAACGTCAGTCACGCCGTGCACCCCAACGCTGTCGGATATCCAAGCCATGTTCACCATACACCGACAGGAATACCTCCCACATATTTATAAGCCCTTCACAGTACACGCCAGCCCTGATTGGCCCCCGATAGATGGATCTCGCTCGCCACGACCGCCAGAAACACCGCGGTAGGATTGTGGGGAATTGTCATTTGTGGGTAATGGGATTACTTGACGTAACTGGTGGATATGTTTCACTACTCCAAACGTTTGTTTTAAAAAAAACCGGATTTAACCTAACCGGGGTGCGTTATCTGCTGGAAGACTAACTTCGATCTACGGGGAGCCATCTAACGGGTAGACTTAATCTGGTCCAAAGGGCGCTACATCTAATGGGGAGACTAACCTCGTCCACAGGGCGCTACATCTAATGGGGAGACTAACCTCGTCCACAGGGCGCTACATCTAACGGGTAGACTAACCTCGTCCACAGGGCGCTACATCTAATGGGGAGACTAACCTCGTCCACAGGGCGCTACATCTAACGGGGAGCCTAGCCTCGTCCACATGGCGCTACATCTAACGGGTAGAACTTACCTCGTCCAAGGGGCGCTATATCTAACGGGGAGACTAACCTCGTCCACAGGGCGCTACATCTAATGGGGAGACTAACCTCGTCCACAGGGCGCTACATCTAACGGGGAGACTAACCTCGTCCACGGGGCGCTACATCTAACGGGGAGACTAACCTCGTCCACGGGGCGCTACATCTAACGGGGAGAAAACCTCGTCCAAGGGGCGCTACATCTAACGGGGAGCCTAGCCTCGTCCACAGGGCGCTACATCTAATGGGGAGACTAACCTCGTCCACGGGGCGCTACATCTAACGGGGAGACTAACCTCGTCCACGGGGCGCTACATCTAACGGGGAGCCTAGCCTCGTCCACAGGGCGCTACATCTAACGGGGAGCCTAGCCTCGTCCACAGGGCGCTACATCTAATCGGGAGACTAACCTCGTCCACAGGGCGCTACATCTAACGGGGAGACTAACCTCGTCCACAGGGCGCTACATCTAATGGGGAGACTAACCTCGTCCACAGGGCGCTACATCTAACGGGGAGACTAACCTCGTCCACATGGCGCTACATCTAACGGGGAGACTAACCTCGTCCACGGGGCGCTACATCTAACGGGGAGACTAACCTCGTCCACGGGGCGCTACATCTCATGGCGAGGCTTAGCCTCTGTCCACGGGGCGCTACATCTAATGGCGAGGCTCAGCATTTGTCCACAGGGCGCCCCATCTCATAGGGAGGCTTGACCTCGATCCACAGGGCGCTACATCTGAAGGCGAGGCTTAGCCTCTTTCCAAGGGGCGCTAAATGTAATGGGGAGACTTGGCCTCTGTCCACGGGGCGCTTTATCTAATGGAGAGACTACCCTCGATCAACGGGGCGCTACATCTCATGGGGAGACATAGCCTCTGTCCACGGGGCGCTACATCTAATGGGGCGACTTAGCCTCTGTCCACGGGGCGCTACATCTAATGGGGAGACTTATCCTCTGTCCACAGGGCGCTACATCTAATGGGGAGATTGGCCTCTGTCCACGGGGCGCTACATCTAATGGGGAGACATAGCCTCTGTCCACGGGGCGCTACATCTAATGGGGAGACTTGGCCTCTGTTCACGGGGCGCTACATCTAATTGGGACACATAGCCTCTGTCCACGGGGCGCTACATCTAATGGGGAGACATAGCCTCTGTCCACGGGGCGCTACATCTAATGGGGAGACTTGGCCTCTGTTCACGGGTCGCTACATCTAATTGGGCGACTTAGCCTCTGTCCACGGGGCGCTACATCTAATGGGGAGACTTATCCTCTGTCCACAGGGCGCTACATCTAATGGGGAGATTGGCCTCTGTCCACGGGGCGCTACATCTAATGGGGAGACATAGCCTCTGTCCACGGGGCGCTACATCTAATGGGGAGACTTGGCCTCTGTTCACGGGGCGCTACATCTAATTGGGACACATAGCCTCTGTCCACGGGGCGCTACATCTAATGGGGAGACATAGCCTCTGTCCACGGGGCGCTACATCTAATGGGGAGACTTGGCCTCTGTTCACGGGGCGCTACATCTAATTGGGACACATAGCCTCTGTCCACGGGGCGCTACATCTAATGGGGAGACATAGCCTCTGTCCACGGGGCGCTACATCTAATGGGGAGACTTGGCATCGGTCCACGGGGATCTACATCTGCTGGGGGAGTTAGGTGCAACATCTACTGAAGGACTGAAGGCTTGGTGATACAAGCGTGAAGTTAAAATCTTTGCCATTCTTCACGAGGAAGTAAACTTGTTATATATGCTAAATATGCAGTGCCTGGGTAATAGGCATGTCGTCATCTGCGTTACTTCAGCTGTTTTTAACTCAAACCATTTCCTTTTCACGCAGTGAAGAGGCTTCTGGTACGTAGAAGACCCGCAACAAACAAATACACATGATGTTCTAACCATACAACTAGCATGATGAGAAAGTGGCAAGGAAGTGGCAGAGAAAGGAAACTCATTTACTCCACATCATGCTAAACAAATAATTGTTTCTGCATTTGCACTAGTTTTAACATCCCCGTATCCAAGATTTGCACAATCAAATAACAGTAAATGTATACCAATGACAACGCAACCATCTACAATGCGTTTCAGTTACGTTGCCAGGGGAACTCTTTCTCTGTGTCTTTTGTGGGTGTGAAGTTGCCTAGCGGTTATAGCGTTCGCTCGTTCCGGCGAAGGCCCGGGTTCGATTCCCCACATGGGTACAACGTGTGAATCCAATGTCTGGTGTCCCCCGTCGTGATGTCGCTGGAATATTGTTGAAACTGGGGTAAACATCACTCACTTACTCACCCACCCATAAACCGATTCACATACCAACCTTCTACATACACACCCATCCAACAACCCATCAACCCATCTACATACTCACCCATCCAGCCACATACCCACCCATCCACATACCCACCCTCCTTCCCACCAATCAACATTCCCACCCATCCAACCACACTTCTACCCAGCCACATACCCACCCTCCTTCCCACCAATCCACATTCCCATCCATCCAACAACACTTCTACCCAGCCACGTACCCTCCAAGCCACCCACCAACCCATCCACATACCCATCCACCCAGCGACCCACAAACTCATCCACATGCCAATCCATCAAACAACCCACCAACCCATCCACATACCCATCCAATCAACGACCCACAAACTCATCCACATACCCATCCATCCAACCACCCTTCAACCCATCCACATGCCCATCCATCAAACCACCCACCAATCCATCCACATACCCATCCACCCAGCGACCCACAAACTCATCCACATGCCCATCCATCCAACCACCCATCAACAATTATACATACCCACCCATCAAACCACCCACCAACCCATCCACATCCCAATCCATCCAAACAACCATCAACCCATCTACATACCCACCCATAAACCGATCCACATACCCACCGATCCAATCACATACCCACCGACCCTCTCACCATACCAACCACCCACCAACCCATCCACATGCCCACCCTTCAAACCACCCACCAACCCATCTACATGCCCACCCTTCCAACCACCAATCAACCCATCTACATGCCAACCCATCCAACAAGCCATCAACCCATCTACATGCCTACCCTTCCAACCAGCCATCACCCCATCTACATGCCCACCCTTCCAACCACCAATCCACATTTCCACCCTGCCAACCACCCAGTAACATACCCACCCACCCTCTCACCAATCCACAAACCCACCCATCCAACTATCCAACTACCCTCCCACCAACCCACATACCAACCCACCCAGCCGACCACAACCCATCTGCATACCCAACCAACCCCACCCCCCACCCCACGCACCCCAACCCCACCCAGCGACCAACAAACGCATCCACATACCCACCCATCCATCCATCACGCATCTATCTTTTTTTGGTTTGAGTGATTTAAAACCATGGTGAGGTTTCTTTTGGTCGTCAGTGTAACTGGAACATACAGATATGAGAAACATTCCTACCTATCCATTCGTTAACCCAGACACATTTAAAACAGGATGACTTCACATGCAACGGTACTGGCTTGGATAACGGGGTTGGCAGTGTTTTTGATGAGCTCTTCAGTCAGCAAGACGAGCAGTCCCATATGATAAAATCAATGATGGATCTGTCTCTTGTCTAATGAAACACAATAAAGACGTTAAAAGATGGTACTTGTTAAAACAAGGACTAGTCGGCTCGGAGTCAGTACACTGTGTCTGAGCTGGCACTATAAAGCGGTATCAGTCAGGACTAGTACAAGCAACCACACGTGCATGCACGTAGCTATATAAGTGCAATATTCTTGTACGTGTATCTATATAAGCTATCTATATAAGTGCAATAATCTTGGACACGACGTTAAACCCAATTTCACCTCACCTCACCTCATGATGTCAATCACTGGATTGGCTTGCCTGGACTCCATTGTTTACAGACCAGCGTCATATAGCTCGATATTACCGAGTACGGCGTTAAAATAATGATCTAGAGGGGACGGTGGTACGAGACAAAAAAGGGCAATAAATGACACTGACGGGACTCGGCATCCGGATAAAAAACGTTATTTGTAATTTTCAAATCTGTTCCAGTTGTAGCGTACAATGCCAGAACTAAGAGGGTTGCCAGGATGGCTCACGTGGTGTGTGCTGCTGATCACGTGTTCAAAGGGAGAGTACTCTGTGGTGACCACCTCCCTGGGGCCTATCCGTGGCAACAGGACAACGGTGTTGAACTCCACTGTCGACATCTACTACGGCATCCCATATGCAGCGCCACCTGTTGGTGACCTCCGCTTCCGTCGCCCCGTGCCTCACGACCCCTGGAACACAACCCGTGACGCGCTAGACATGCCCAACTCCTGTCATCAGAGTATCGACGAGCTGTTCGACAGGTTTGAAGGTGTGTATGTTTCTCCTGATCGTTGTCCGTACTCCACGTAGTGCACATATCTCCCCCTACCCTTCGTTACATAGGAAGAGTACGTTTCTCGCCCACACCCTTCGCAACACAGGCTGCGTACGTATCACAACCCTTCGTTACATAGGAAGTGTACGTATCTCGCCCACACCTTTCGAAACATAGGAAGTGTACCTATCTCCCCCTACCCTTCGTAACATAGGAAGTGTACGTTTCTCCCCCTACCCTTCGTAACACAGGAAGTGTACCTATCTCCCCCTACCCTTCGTAATATAGGAAGAGTACGTATCTCGCCCACACCCTTCGCAACGCAGGCTGCGTACGTATCAAAACCCTTCGTTACGCAGGATGTGTACGTATCTTTACCCTACCCCCCCCCCCCCCCCCCCCCCACCCCCCTCCATTAACAACACAAGAAATTGCGTATCTTTGCCCCACCTCTAGTAACACAAGGATGTGTACGTATCTTTACCCTACCCCCCCCCCCCCCCCCACCCCCCTCCATTAACAACACAAGAAATTGCGTATCTTTGCCCCACCTCTAGTAACACAAGATGTATACGTATCTGTCCCCCTACCCTTCACAATACAAGAAGTGTACGTATTTTTCCCTTATTCTTTCTAACACAGGACATGTACGTATCTTTCTACCATTCTTCGTAACACAGGATGTGTTCGTATCTTTTCCCCTACCCTTCGTAACACAGTATATGCACGTATCTTTCCCCTATTCTTCGTATCAAAGGATTTGTACGTATCTTTCCCCTATTCTTCGTATCACAGGATATATCTTTCCCCTATTCTTCGTATCAAAGGATATGTACGTATCTTTCTCCCTTTCTTCGTAACACAGGATGTGTTCGTATCTTTTCCCCTACCCTTCGTAACACAGGATATGCACGTATCTTTTCCCTATTCTTCTTAACATCTTCGAAACACAGGATGTGTTCGTATCTTTTCCCCTACCTTCGTAACACAGAATGTGTATGTATCTTCCCCATCACCAACCATTCACAACACAAGAAATATGCGTATCCTTCCCCTACCCGTCGTAACACGGGGTGGCTACGTAACATTGCCCTACCCCTCGTAACACCAGATATGTACGTATATTTCCCCTACCCTTCACAACATAAGATGCGGACGTATTTTTCGCCCTCTCCTTCGTTACACAGGATATGTACGTATCTTTCCCCTATTCTTCGTATCAAAGGATATGTACCGTACGTATCTTTCTCCCTTTCTTCGTAACACAGGATGTGTTCGTATCAGTTCCCCTACGCTTCGTAACACAGGATATGTACGTATATTCACCTATTCTTCGTAACACAGGATATGGTCGTATCTTTCCCCTACTTTCGTAACACAGGATGTGTACGTATTTTTTCCTATTGACCGGGTTCGAATCCCCACATGGGTACAATGTGTGAAGCCCATTTCTGGTGTTCCCCGCCGTGATATTGCTGGAATATTGCTAAAAGCGGCGTAAAACCATACTCACGCACTCACTCGTAACACATTTCGTTAGTTACCTTGAGTAACTAGATGTCCTGGATAAAACCGACAAAACACCGTGCACATCCGCTACACATATGCAAACCGGTTTTACGTGTATACCTCAATAACCGGAATCAGTTTTGGCGTTATTCCTTAAGTTCCTGAAATTGTCTTTCCAGGTGTGGACATGTGGAACCCCAACACAAACATGAGCGAAGACTGCCTGTACCTGAACATCTGGGTCCCGAGGGGTGGGGCTCTGAAAAAAGCCATCTTGCTGTGGATATACGGGGGGACGTTTGCCTTGGGAACGTCGACGCTCAGGGTGTATGACGGCAAATACATGGCCGCTGCAAATGACGTTATCGTTGTGTCCATTAACTACCGAATAGGCACCCTAGGATTCCTGAGTTACGGAGATGATGCATTTTCTTCCGGAGATGACGCCCCTGGCAACGTTGGTCTTTTAGATCAGTTAATGGCAATCAAATGGGTGAGAAATAACGCTGGCAATTTTGGCGGTGACGTCAACAGGATTACTATTTTCGGAGAGAGTGCTGGCGCGGTTAGCGTCTCGATGCATTTGTTGTCACCTCTGTCACGTGACTTGTTTAACAACGCAATGATGCAAAGCGCAAGCGCGTTATGCTACTGGGGGTTGCATACACGACAGATGGCAAATGACAGGACTAGAGCACTGGCCCAAAGGTTTAACTGTACAACAACGGATGAGACGGAAATGCTGAAATGCTTGAGAAGCGCAGACCCACAAGAGTTATCAGTGGAGGCGTGGTACATCGTGGACTTCTATTTCGACGCCCCCTTCGCGCCAGTAGTTGATAAGTATTTCCTTCCCGACATTCCAGAGAAGCTGATAGCTCGGGGTGAAATAAAAAACACCAGTATTTTATTGGGTGTGAACAAGAACGAGGGGAACTACTTTCTGCTATACGGAGTCCAAGATAAGTTCAAACTCAACAACCCGAACCCTCTTGACAGGGACGAGTTCTTGGACGTGGTGCGAGATGTTGTTGCCCCTAGCAACGATAAGACAAAGAAGGCTGTTGCTGTGGAGTATGAAGAGGAGGAGTTGCCTGTTGACAGAGACACCTACCGGGTCATTGCTGACGACATCAGTGGTGACAGGGCTTTCAAGTGCCCCACCATCGATTTCGCCAGGGAAATGTCGAGAATAAACAAAGACATCTTTCTTTACTCCTTCGAACATCGTGTGTCTACCAACCCATGGCCGAAGTGGGCTGGCGTCATGCATGGGTATGAAATCGAGATTATCTTCGGACTTCCGCTGGAGAACGGAAGTAGATACAACAGCGACGAGGTGGACTTGAGCAGGCGTGTGATGAAGATGTGGACGAACTTCGCTAAATATAGGTAGGGATGGCGCTGTATTTTGTGTAAATGAGTGGGTGATTGTTTATGTCCTTGAGTTCGTTTCTTATTTGACACCGCGCTCATCAATACTTCAGAATTATGGCGACTAATTAAAAAAATAAATCTAGATCAGATAATCCAGTGATTGACATAATGAGCATCGATCTAGGCAATTGGGATACGATGACATGCATCATCCAAGTCCCCGTTAGACGCCTGTTACGACAAGCATGGGTTTTCGAAGACCAATTAAAACCCGTATCTTCACGGGGACATGGTACCATGGGTTGTTGAAGACCAGTTCTAACCCGGATCTTCACGGGTATTTTAGCTGAGAGTAAGTGACAGGTGGTTGGATGAAAGGGATTTGTACCAGAATGACGATTTGGACACGTCTCCAGTGTTTGGACAGTGATGGAATGAGTGTGTTCCTGCAAAGTGAGTAAATGAGAGGATGGATGACTTTTGTCTTATAGTTATCAGTGCATCATTATGATTTTGTTTGTTTGTTTGTTTGTTTGTTTAACGCCGCACTGCTATATTCCAGCTATATGACGGCGGTCTGTAAATAATCGAATCATGAACAGACAATCCAGTGATTGATGTCATGACCATCATTATGATGAGGGTGCATGTGGCGACGGGTAACAAGGATCTGGTCATCTTTGGTTCAAAACCCAGACTTGCTCTGGTTATGATTCTTGACTCATTGTACATGCTTGATTGCTTCAACAACGCCTTCCCCCTAACCGTGATATAACTGAAATACTTTTCAAAGCGTCTATAAAGGCATCCAACTCCAACATATCCTCATTTTCCATATTCTGGTTAAATAGCAAAAGTAGATGCAATTCTCTTTTTGAACGTGTATGCATGGTATTTGCACGTGCATTTATTATTTGCAAGCGCATAAATATGTTCGCACGTGTACATAGTATATGCACGTGAAAATATTATTTCATATCACAATACACTGAAGAGCAAAAGATACTATACCTTGCTCTCCGTTGATTTTATCTTATGTTTGATTTTCAATTGAAATATCTTTAGTTGGCGGCATTATATCCAAAACATGAACTGCAAATGGCGCTTAGTCGGCACTCAAAGAATACTTCAACATGATTAAATTATTTAATATTTTACTCGATTTAATCATTTAAAAAATCTTTTATCGCATTTTCGGCATAATTTTTCATTTCAAACATCGTAGGGGTCATGTGGTTGCAAATTCATTTCTTACTCCAGTCGTCATTGAACCAATATATTTTTACACAAAAGTACCCAATTACCCCGCCACATTTCACGATTTACAAACTGCTGTTGGAATGTTGGATAGTTCAACAGACATAATCCAATAAAACAGCAGTTCTTTCAAATTTCAATTACATAAAAAACAAACTCGGTATGCTTTCTTTTGTCTCTCAGTTAACGTTTTGCACCAGTGTATATAATTTAACGTGTATGTAATATTTTTACGTTTGTATATTATTTGAACGTGTAAGGTATATGTGCACACGCAAATAGTTTTTTTCACATGTTTGTATTATTTTCAAATTTACATATTAATTAAACGTGTATATATATTTTGCACGTGTATATATTATTTTCAGGGGGCACTGGTGGCCCAGTCGTCTAAGGCGCCGCGATTCGCTGTGCAGAGTTGCATCCCTTGGGCACGCCAGAAACCTATGATTGTGGGTTCGAATCCCGGTTCGCCCCGATTATGTTTCTAGGTTTGTCAGCATCATAGCCGTGCTCGTGGGTTTCACCGAAGTAAACGTCTGAGACCTGCATCACTTCGGGCTTCCCCCCCCCCACACACACACACACACACACACACACATTAAGCTGACACGCCGCGATATAACTGGAATACTGTTTAAAGCGGCGTTAAACCCAACTCACTCACTCACTATTATTTTCACGTTTACGTAGTATTTCAACGAGTATATATTTTTCGCACATGTACATATTACTTACACGTGTGCATGGAATGACACGTGTACAGCTAACCAGCACGTGTAAATATACCCTGTGGATATACACGTGTGGAAATCTCATCATAATTTGTACCTATGTTTGCAGCAACCCCAATGACGCAAACTCCAACAACTGGCCTCGTTTTGACATCCTATCCCAGCAATTTGTGTATCTGAATGTTTCTAAACCCGTGACGTCAGGTCGAGGCTTACGTCACAAGCAGTGTACCTTTTGGCGGGAAATCGTACCACTGCTGGCTGACCCGAGTGAGTACATATCTTAAACGGGAAACGCATGTCGTAAAATGAATCAGTCTCAATAAAATCAGATCTTAGTTCTCGCTACCGCTAAACAAAGATCTGAGGACATCCCATTAGGGGTCACGTCAGAACGACCTTTTATCCGACCAATCAGAGCGTCGCTTAGCAGATTATGGAAGTGACAGTCGGAATGTGATTTCTAATCATGCAAAACTGTAACACGGTGTATTCCGAACGATAGTTTACGTGCTTAACGACTGAATCCATACAATCTAGCCCCTCTATTAGCCATTCCAGAATGTTCTTTTGTTCAGGTTTCAAATTTTTAATCGAGAATTTGTCAAAATATATTTCGAAGCGTAGTCGCCAATTTGAAAATAGTGCCGTAAAGCACGAGAAAGCTGCCTTCTGATTGGCTAATGTCGACTTCTTGTCAGTCATTTCATTGGTCGGTAAAAGTTCGCGCAAGGTCGGTCTGACGTGACCCGTAAAGGGATGTCCTCACATCTTTGTTGAGCGGTAGCGAGAACTAAGATCTGATTTTAATTGGATTGTAAAATGAATCAATCAAAATCGCTAAAAAACGTCTTATTAATTCATGGCAAAGAATAGTCGTGTGTCTAACATCGTGGGTATAGTGTACGTTAATTTGAATTGATAAGCACGTTGTCGTGATCTCTATAATATGCGATTTAAATACAAACGATGGTTCTATTACTTTCCTATCAGTTAACATTCGTGATCCTTGATAAATAACAATCACGTGTGTTGATTTACGTACTGATATTGTCTCTTGTAATCGTGTTTTTCTTATAACAATGATACATCATATCCTTCGGCAAGTTGGAGGAGACACCGATTTATTATATACTTAAGTGTGACAGACTTAAGTTTAAGTTGAGAATGAAAAGAGTTTAAATTTTAACGACGTTTGTTGATTTATTATGTATACTTTAGTGTAAAATACTGAGTTTTCCGAAGTTGAGAAAAATGATATAGTTTTTCTTTGCAGTGAATATAACAATTGATGTTTCACTGCAGTGAACATAACACTTGATATTTCACTGCTGTGAACATAACACTTCATATTTCACTGCTGTGAACATAACACTTTACAGAACTATAGACATCAAAGTGACCTCCCTCAAATTGTCTCCCTTTATCGTAAGTGTCTGTCTTCACAAACTGTTGACTTTCTTTTTACGTTAGTTCCACATTGACAAGGCAAAGTGATGACAGATGGTAATTTGTGGAGTTAATATCGCTTCATGGCGTTTGTTTTTCTCTTGAAAATGTTCCGTTATAAACTGTAAATTTCTCACTTAACTCGTCAATCGAGACCGTTCGTTCCCAAAGTGCCATTTTTGTTACTTGACCAGCGTGTTCTTTCGCTTCCAACAGCGGTCTCGAAGTTTTCAAGAATTTCTTTTGTTAAAGTTGATTTTGTTTATACAATTATATCTACATGTATGACACAGAATTTTCGCGACCTAAATATATTTTGTTACTTTTTTAAATATTTTTTTAATGATTTTTCAAACACGAGACTACTTTTTTAGTCGCAAATACAAAGGGTGGTGACCCTTCCCTGTGTGTTAGGTAGGGAGAATTTACGTTTCAAGGTTTTACATTTGTAATGAAATAATTTAGTTTTCCAGTAGATATGTTGCAATGTGAACGTGTATGTCAACTTAAGAGGATGATCTAATTAATATCTGTTCTTTTGCCAACACCAAACAAACAGTTACCAACTTTTATGAGTATATACAGAGTTGAATGGACGGTGTTTTCTTTTGGTCTCAAGGATTCAAAACGTTGTGTACAAATTAAATCAAACACATGTTGCTTCACGCGAAGACTTTCTATGAAGTAACTCTCTTCTCATTCAACTCTGATTGGAAAACAACCTGTTTTGTGTTGAAAGTCGAATATATGTGCCTCACATAATTTACATACTTTAATTACACACCTTAGTTGATTTTCGTGTGAACGCATAGTAAATTTACATGTACACACATATGTATAGTTACACATAGGCAAAATTACTTACAGTTAGTAAATGTTGTGCATGTGAACGGGGTATAAGCCGGGTCTTACACTGAGAGTAAACGGTTCCACACTTTCCGGGTGTTACACTTAGAGTAAACGGCTCCACATTTTCCGGGTCTTACACTGAGAGTAAACGGCTCCACACTTTCCGGGTGTTACACTGAGAGTAAACGGCTCCACACTTTCTGGGTGTTACACTGAGAGTAAACGGCTCCACACTTTCTGGGTCTTACACTGAGAGTAAACGGCTCCACACTTTCCGGGTGTTACACTGAGAGTAAACGGCTCCACACTTTCTGGGTCTTACACTGAGAGTAAACGGCTCCACACTTTCTGGGTCTTACACTGAGAGTAAACGGCTCCACACTTTCTGGGTGTTACATTGAGAGTAAACGGCTCCACACTTCCTGGGTCTTACACTGAGAGTAAACGGCTCCACACTTTCTGGGTGTTACATTGAGAGTAAACGGCTCCACACTTCCTGGGTCTTACACTGAGAGTAAACGGCTCCACACTTTCTGGGTCTTACACTGAGAGTAAACGGCTCCACACTTGCTGGGTCTTACACTGAGAGTAAACGGCTCCACACTTGCTGGGTCTTACACTGAGAGTAAACGGCTCCACACTTTCTGGGTGTTACATTGAGAGTAAACGGCTCCACACTTCCTGGGTCTTACACTGAGAGTAAACGGCTCCACACTTTCTGGGTCTTACACTGAGAGTAAACGGCTCCACACTTGCTGGGTGTTACACTGAGAGTAAACGGCTCCACACTTGCTGGGTCTTACACTGAGAGTAAACGGCTCCACACTTTCTGGGTGTTACATTGAGAGTAAACGGCTCCACACTTCCTGGGTCTTACACTGAGAGTAAACGGCTCCACACTTCCTGGGTCTTACACTGAGAGTAAACGGCTCCACACTTCCTGGGTCTTACACTGAGAGTAAACGGCTCCACACTTTCTGGGTTTAACATTGAGAGTAAACGGCTCCACACTTCCTGGGTCTTACACTGAGAGTAAACGGCTCCACACTTTCTGGGTCTTACATTGAGAGTAAACGGCTCCACACTTCCTGGGTCTTACACTGAGAGTAAACAGCTCCACACTTCCTGGGCGTTACACTGGGAGTAAACGGCTCCACACTTTCTGGGTCTTACACTGAGAGTAAACGGCTCCACACTTTCTGGGTCTTACACTGAGAGTAAACGGCTCCACACTTTCTGGGTGTTACATTGAGAGTAAACGGCTCCACACTTCCTGGGTCTTACACTGAGAGTAAACGGCTCCACACTTTCTGGGTGTTACATTGAGAGTAAACGGCTCCACACTTCCTGGGTCTTACACTGAGAGTAAACGGCTCCACACTTTCTGGGTCTTACACTGAGAGTAAACGGCTCCACACTTGCTGGGTCTTACACTGAGAGTAAACGGCTCCACACTTGCTGGGTCTTACACTGAGAGTAAACGGCTCCACACTTTCTGGGTGTTACATTGAGAGTAAACGGCTCCACACTTCCTGGGTCTTACACTGAGAGTAAACGGCTCCACACTTTCTGGGTCTTACACTGAGAGTAAACGGCTCCACACTTGCTGGGTGTTACACTGAGAGTAAACGGCTCCACACTTGCTGGGTCTTACACTGAGAGTAAACGGCTCCACACTTTCTGGGTGTTACATTGAGAGTAAACGGCTCCACACTTCCTGGGTCTTACACTGAGAGTAAACGGCTCCACACTTCCTGGGTCTTACACTGAGAGTAAACGGCTCCACACTTCCTGGGTCTTACACTGAGAGTAAACGGCTCCACACTTTCTGGGTGTAACATTGAGAGTAAACGGCTCCACACTTCCTGGGTCTTACACTGAGAGTAAACGGCTCCACACTTTCTGGGTCTTACACTGAGAGTAAACGGCTCCACACTTGCTGGGTGTTACACTGAGAGTAAACGGCTCCACACTTGCTGGGTCTTACACTGAGAGTAAACGGCTCCACACTTTCTGGGTCTTACATTGAGAGTAAACGGCTCCACACTTCCTGGGTCTTACACTGAGAGTAAACGGCTCCACACTTCCTGGGCGTTACACTGGGAGTAAACGGCTCCACACTTTCTGGGTCTTACACTGAGAGTAAACGGCTCCACACTTTCCGGGTGTTACACTGAGAGTAAACGGCTCCACACTTTCTGGGTCTTACACTGAGAGTAATCGACACACTTAGCCGGTATGGTATCTCAGTGAGCTAGCACTAAAAATCGGCATCAGCCCGGACTAGTACAAGCAGCCACACACACACACACACACACACACACACACGCACACGCACACACACACGCACACGCAAACACACACACGCAAACACACACACGCAAACACACAAACACGTGCATGTATCAGTGCAATAATCTTGGACGCGACGTTTAACCCCGTTTCACCTCACCTCTTCTATAAGGACGTCTCTTTCAACATAAATGTACATATCGGTGTAAGATACACCCCATAGATAGTTTGTTAAAATGATTTTTTTTCTAATTCCTTTTTAAAACATGCAACTTGCTTTTTTCTCGTCTGTGACACTCTATAATATTAACTCCTTCATGGATACCCTCTGAATTACGTTTATCTGTTTCTTCCCCTTAGCATCCCCACCGTCAGCAACGACAAGATGCGTCAACACAAGCCACTCCGTCTTCCCCAACTACACCGTTCTCTTCATCACCGGGGCCTTCATTATCGGCGGACATCTGAAGCAATTCTGCGCATGACAAACACTCAGTTGCTAGGAAACAGAGTACTGTTATCACTCCCATCGTTGGGAGTAACACGCACTTGGTTGCTATGATACAGTAGATGGATATCACAATGTCTCTGGAATAACACGCAATTGTTTTTGATGAACCGATTAATTATTTTAGGAAGGATGTAACACGTGGCGAGGAATATTGTATTGGTATGCAACAATGTGGGTTGCTAGGATACAGGACATTGGCAGCAGCAAATACGTATCAGTAGGACTCATAAAACTGATGCTGATTTATTTAATCAGATTGCTATGGCAACGTTATGGATTTTATTCAAAGTAGTCCGGGAGTGAAGCGGTCCGGATCACGGCAGAGCGGTGTAAATCCTATAACTGAGACGTTTGTTGTTTGTTTTACTTGACCCTTGAACTTCTGACCTTTTTGACCTTTGCAGCCGAACCTACAAGCATCGACTGAATGAGATTCGCAGTCTGTAAAACTAAGCATATGCCCTGCTTTTACGTCTTTGGGATGTTGTGTCTTCCTAATATGGAAAGAAAAAGGGACATCACTCTCAGGTTTATTCAAACACGAGATCCCAACAGCGCCGCCTACAGGTGACGCTCTTACCTCAACAGTGCAATGGAGCTTGGCATCGTGCATTAGTGGACGTGTAGCGGGCAAAATATGCAGCCATTGATGTATTGAGTTTGAACATTGAAAGACAGATAAACTGTATATTTCAGATATGAGTAAATGTATTTCACTTGTAACCATGGTAACTAGGGTATCACTGCACGTGTTGCTGTCGTTTGAAGAATCTTAGCATCATCACAGAACATCGATTGTATCTCCAAGCAATACTGATACTGTGGTTAATGCCAACTGTTTCGTGACGTCATAATGACGTCATACCATGACGTCATGTTTTACATGTTCTTATCACATGACAATGATAGAGCAATATGCATAATGACTCGTTGTATATACAGTGTATATGTTCTTTCCCTGGTTGCCATGTATATACCACCGAGACAACCTCACAGTATGGCCCATAACAAATGCCAACCTCGCTTCACCGAAACCGATGCTGTTACGATCTTTCCGATGAAGCTGGTCTCTTCTTGTTTCATTTGGCTCTTTTGACATCGTTTATTAGATGTGATTTTGTTCACAATTCGCCATCTTCTCGGTCTAAATGCATGTGACGATTTAATTATACAAATCGATGTGTGATAACGCTGTTTTTCAAATTTAATTGTGCTGTTTCGCTCTGACATTCTGAATGTTTGGTGAAATTAAAGTTTCGGCAATTCGACAACTTCTCCATCAATTGCTTACAACGATATAACAAATACACAACTGTTTGTGACAAACGTGTTTCTTCGTATTTCCTTTGACTTTTCCTGCAATTCGACGATCTTTCGCACACAATTCTTACGACGGTTTGTAATAGATTATGGTGTTCATGATATTATATAATTACACCGAGTATATGTACAGCTGTTTGTCATCTTCTTCATCATTTGAAATATATACTCATTCTTCCATTTCATAGCAATTGTATTTAGATGCTAGAACCAAGGTGATGGTGTGTACTCTGCCAACCGTAGCAACAATGTATAGCTGTTCAATGCTCCAAGTACATACTATAGAGAATAAAATCAGGTTTTGATATTGTTGGGATTGGTTTTTTTAAATATTAATGGCAGATTTACATGCTGTGTATTCTGATGACGTGCATCTTTCTTGAGTTGGTCTCCAGCAACTGGTTGTCCCCGCTGAAGATCCGCGTTTGAATTGGTCTTCAAGAACTCTGCTTGTCCCCCGTGAAAATCCGGGTTTGAATTGGTCATCAGCAACCCATGCTTGTATCACCGTGAAGATCCGCGTTTGAATTGGTCTTCAAGAACTCTGCTTGTCCCCCGTGAAGATTCGAGTTTGAATTGGTCATCAGCAACCCATGCTTGTATCACCGTGAAGATCCGCGCTTGAATTGGTCTTCGGGAACCCGTACTTATCCCCCGTGAAGATTCAGGTTAGAATTGGTCTTCAGCAACCCATGCTTGTTCCCCGTGAATACCCCGGTTGGAATTGGTCTTCAGTAAACCATGCTTGTCGTTGTCATAAGAGGCGATTAATGGAATCGGATGGTGAGACTCGCTGACTTGGTCGATGCATGTTTTCGTATCCCGATTTCATGCTCATGATACCAGTTACTGATATTTTACAGACCGCCGTCATAAATCATTCGGAATAGATACCCATTTTTCAATAAGGTGGAATATTGCTTAATACGGTGTTAAACACTGCAACACTGGCAAACTAGGTGGAATATTGATAAATACGGTGTAAAAAAACTGACAAACAATTTTCCTTTGTACGTTCTACACGTGTAAGCCATGCTGTATAGACACCTTACATCATTCTGTTTAGATATAGTCTCCACCTACCCTGATACAGAATGTATACACACGTTAAATCATTCTGTCTATACATCCCTCCTACCCAGATACAGAGTATATACACACGTTACGTCATCCTGTCTAGATATAGACCCCATATACCCCGCTACAGAGTACATACACACGTTACATCATTCTATCTGGATATAGACCCCATTTACCCTGATACAGACTATATACACACGTTACGTCATTCAGTCTGGATATAGACCCAATATACCCAGCTACATAGTACAGACACACGTTACATCATTCTGTCTAGATATAGACCCCATATACCCAGCTACAGAGTATATACACACGTTACATCATTCTGTCTAGATATAGACCCCATATACCATGCTACAGACTATATACACACGTTACGTCATTCAGTCTAGATATAGACCCCATATACCCAGCTACAGATTATATACACACGTTACATCATTCAGTCTAGATATAGACCCCATATACCCAGCTACAGAGTATATACACACGTTACATCATTCTGTCTAGATATAGACCCAATATACCCAGATACAGTGTATATACAGACGTTACATCATTCAGTCTAGATATAGACCCCATATACCCAGCTACAGAGTATATACACACGTTACATCATTCTGACTAGATATAGGCCCACCTACCCATCTACAGATTACATACACGGTACATAATTCTGTCAATACAGTTTCCACCTACCCATCTACAGAGTATATACACACGTTACATCATTCTGACTAGATATAGGCCCACCTACCCATCTACAGATTACATACACGGTACATAATTCTGTCAATACAGTTTCCACCTACCCATCTACAGAGTATATACACACGTTACATCATTCTGACTAGATATAGGCCCACCTACCCATCTACAGATTACATACACGGTACATAATTCTGTCAATACATTTTCCACCTACCCATCTACAGAGTATATACACACGTTACGTCATTCTGACTAGATATAGGCCCACCTACCAATATACAATGTAGATACACACGTTACGTCATTCTGTCTAGATGAAGGCCCCAACTGCTTAACATCAGGGTATATTTCGTACTGTTACTAGTCTACACTGGTTTCATGAAGAATATCATTCATGATAATATCGGGAGCTTCCACAATACTACAAAGGCTCACATTGTAAAGTCAGATATAGCAAACTACGGTTATAACGAACTCAAACGGACCAGTAAATTTAGTTCGTTATAACCGCAGCTCGTTATAAGCACATTTACAGCATATATACAGCAAATGGACTGGACCAAAAAACAGTTCGTTATATCCGAATGTTCGTTATAAGAGTGTTCGTTATAAAAGTAGATTACCGTAATGTCATATCTATTGACAAAGAGAAACGAAACAGTAATTCACGAGTTATGCCCCTTGAATGAACTCCCGAGATTTTATCACCGAGAGTGGTTCTCTGTGATTGAACTGTTAAACGCCTCGTTCGGAATTCTTGAAGATGTCGATGAGTTCCCCGCCTCGTTGTTTGGAGAACGGCAGCCACTTCGCCACAAGATGACGACCACTTATTTGTAAAATTAGATTTTCTGATTAAAGTTTTTAACATTCCATTAACTGATTGGTTTCTGCTGTGAGTGGCGCTTGCCATGCAGGTTGTTTACATTACATAGACACGTTCGTAAATACAGAAGCATTTGGAATCCAAATAAAGGAATATTAGAAATCCTCGAAATCATTTCCTTAAAGAAGCCAAATCGTTACAAAACGAGACTCCGTGTACCGTAAATGTCTACTTGAGGGTGCGAGCTCCAATAACTAGATTTGTTTGTTTGTTGTTTAATAGCGCCCTCTGCACATTTTTCCGAGGCAAGGGAGTTAACTGACTATAAAGGTCCAGTTACCACCCTTGCAAATCTAGGCTGAAATTTCCGAGGTATGTTTTGGCTGGTCTCACGAATCTATGTGTAGCGGCCATAAAATTTCCGAGTCCCGTGATGGGATTCGAACCACGGACCTTCTGATCCGAGGTCGGACGCCTTGTCCACATGACCAAAGAGGTTAACCCCGTCAGCAAGCTGACAAGGTAAGGATGTCATCTGTGGGGCGACTCCACGCCCGGCTACATATGCATAATTATATAGTCAAATCGAAATCGTGCTACGAAATCTACATCCGGTTCGTAAACAACATGGCCACTGCCGTACAGATGTCGGTATAGTGCATGATGTGATACTGTAAACTTGGCGTCCATAGATGTTTTGATGCTCTGTGGTAGGTAAGACCCGTTTTATTCTAGTTGTACTAGTTCTATTGAAAGCCTGTGACGACATGGGGATCTATGGGTAATTGTACAGAAATTTTATGCATTTTTATTTTTTTACAATTGCCTGTGACAATTAATTTTTGGGCATATGTGTTTTACACATTCCCGGTATATTGTTGAATCCTAGAAGGGACATTTTCGCGTTGTCGCATTGTCGCCTTACAAAAAAAGCAAACGTGTCAAAATTAACCAGAGCGCGACAATGCGTCAACGCGACATATTTCGACCTTGAAAAATGTCGCATTGTCGCCCTTTGGTAAAATGCAAAAAATAGTATTCAAAGCGCGACAAGTGGCCAAAATGTTGCTTTATGGCAGCGCTTTGGTAAATGTCCCTTGTGTTAGACAATGTCCGTTCTGAGATTCCATATTGTTGGGTTCAACGAAACCTCTAAATTCATAAAATGTGTTCGAGCACTTGTCTCGGTAATGACACGGAGATCGGTAAGTCTTCCCCGCTTATTCAAAGGGGGTTGCAACGAAACTCATGAATTATTTAAAATGGGACCTTGTAGGTAATTTTGTAGAAAGAACATCCATTTCTATGTTTTTAAACAATTGTTTATAATATATATGTGACATTTAGTCTGATTGTTCTTAAATTTTCGATATTTTGTTAATTGCGGGGTTTTAGTTTTATTTAAACCCTGAAATGCATGATATGTGCTGAAATGTTTACCGTAATACTGAAAAGGAGATGGTGCCATCACAGTTGAGGAGTCGGGTGTCGGGGATCGAAAAATGAGGAAGGTGCGCATCCATGCGTAATAAATATAACAAACTGATTGTTCAAGTGTAAAATATCTCCCAACATTGTCAAAATAAGCCTACCCTTGGCATGAAAACAGTATACAGTAAACTACGGTTATTACGAACTCAAAGGGACCACTTATTTTAGTTCGTTATAACCGTAGTTCGTTATAAGCATGTATACAGCATATATACAACACATGGACGGGACTTCAAAATCAGTTTGTTATATCGGTCAGTTCGTTATAAGCGTGTTAGTTATAACCGTAGTTTGCTGTACTTTTTAAAATCTGGATAACTGCTTAAAATTTAAGTTATTCTAAATGCCATTTTTCGCTATATATTGCCGTTAATTTGCTATGGCGCGAAGCTACATAAAACATTATGTACGGTCAAACTGAAGCTTCCGTTATAAACACTTCTATTCTGCGTAAACGTTTGATAATGCAACAAAGACAATCAAGAAGATATTGTTATAAAATTCGAATCTATTTTTTATGTGTCGGAATAATGGTAGTAGAAGTGAAACAATTCTATTTTTAGTCTGCGTAAAATGCGACTGCAAACAACTTTCAACAATACTGACAAAACTCATTTATCCTATTGTAAATCTTAAGTTTGTGAAACTTTTGGATGACACAGACGCAGATACAGTTTATTGCTTTAGCGAGAAAATCTGTTCTCGGCGGTATGCAGTATAATTTGTAGCAGTATCACTTGGGGTTAGTTTTCGAAATAAGTATCGGCCAATAGATCCGAGGCCGACAGATTAGTTTTAAACTTCAGCAGGCCCTAACATCCTGCAGTTTACCTTAAGCTGTAAACAGGGTAAATGAATCATAACACTGGGATTGCTTGGTGAAACGGTCCAGCTTCAAAATGAACGCCTCCGTGGTCTAGTGGTAGAGCATCCGCCCGGAGAGCGGAAGGTCCGGGGTTCGATCCCAGGCCGCGACATACCAAAAGACGTTAAAAGATGGTACTTGTTGTTACCCTGTCTGGCGCTCGGCATAAAGGGGCTAAAACAAGGACTGGTAGGCTCGGAGTCAGTATGCGAGGTCTGAGTGGGGTATTCATGCTAAACTGCGGCATGGTAACTCACTGGGCTAGCACTATAACTCAGCATCAGTTCGGACTAGTACAAGCAGCCACACACACACACACGTGCATGCACATCGCTA